TCTCCTGAATGAGAGCAACGCAATCGCCTACCGTTAGACAGACGCGCGAGCGGATTGTCATTTTGGCGCAGCCGGTAATTTGGCAGGAAATAATGGTCGGAGTTTAGGCTGTTTCATCAGTTGGTATGTCCGTGAATGGATCACACCTGAAGTATCATATATGTGTCGAGATGGTCGTTTTAGTTTTTTCAGAAGGCGTACTAGGTGAACGTCGTCCTACGCTCGTGAACTGGATGCCGCTCAGGCTGTCGACTGGCAAGTACAGGTACGCTATATCTAACCCGCAGTCTGAAAATGTCAGACAATGTGCTTATGCTCATCAGGCACTTCATCCTTCCCTGGTTTCGAGCAAATCATTTTTTTCACTTTTGACCACTTTTGACCAAAATAAATTAACAAACGACTTAAACTGAAGATACTCGGAGGAACCAGCATTGCTATGAAAGTTTTAAAAGTCCGTAATGTGGAAGCGCATTGGCGCGGATTCATTGGATAAATTCGTCTCGTTAATCAGACCGGGCCGGATTTGAATGAGAAATCTGGGCAAAGCGGATTGGCGGGCAGACTGGATTTGGACGAGCCGGACTGCACTGCACCGGATCCTGTAAATCCAATTCATGAAGTGCTCTTATTTGTCCCCTCTCGTCAAATCGCCACTCTCCATTTTCATGACAGGAGCGAAGTGACCCACAACTGACCCGCCACCTTCCGCGTCCCGCGGCGGACGCCACGTCCCGGACCCCTCGGTCCGTCGGCGCCGACCCGCCCGGCATCGTCGGCCGCGGCCGCTCGGCGAGAGCGGCCTGTGCGTCGGCAGTGGCCGACTTGTTGCGTCGAACGCGACGCGGTCGGCCGACGGGGCGGCAGTGGCCGGCGGGACTGACGCGCGAGAGGAGGGCACGCCGACGAAGGTGAGACGGGGCCGGAGGCGAGAGGGAGAGGAGGGGAGTCACGGTCCGTCGGACTGGGCTGACATCTGGCCTGGCGACGCCGCCTCAGTCGCCATTGAAAGTTCGTTTGGAATGCGCTAGTCGAAAATAATTAGTGTAGTTCTTGCGTTGAGTGCTGCGTCTGATAACCACATTTTTTGCTGATGCATCTTATAAACATTAGATAGCCGAACGATATCTCTGCAAGGCAATGCTCTTCATTTAGAGACATTTAAGCAAACATCAGATATGATGAAGTAAGCAAAACTATTATCAATACGTCAATTAGCACTGGGAAATAGTAGTTCAGTATCAACACGTCATTGTTTGCTTGCGTCACCGTGCTTCGCACAACATTGATTGAGAGCCGACTGACGACCGTCATGTCTGGAAGTTGTGCTTCCAAACGCCAGATAAGAACGGCTCAACAATTACATTTGTGCTGACCTTGATCACTGGCACGATTTGAATGGCATTATGACGCCATGGATGCCTGGTTGACCTTGACACAGTCTGCATGAGATAGTCTAGTGGCGCATCTCCGCGGGCGTGTAACTCAGAAGCTGGAAGGGTGTAGGTTTTAAGAAGGGCAGGGCTGTGAACTGCACCGAGTGATCATCAAGACGGCTATATCAGTGATCATCATCAGTGATCATCAAGACGGCTATATCAGTTCAAAACCCCATACAAATGTGGAATAACCCCTTTAACGTCACGACGTCGAACCCTTTCACGATGAACCATCGTGTTCAAAACTCAGGTTCTGTTTGATGAGCGGCTGTTGATCATCACTGGCAAAGTTTTGTTGTTGATGTTCTCCAGTTAAGCAGTTAGTTGACAGCCCGAGCGCCGCTTGCCTGAACCATTTGGCGGCAATTATAATTATAAAAGCCATATGCGAGCCGACCTATATGTGCTCATATGTGGTGCGGTGTAGACAGATCAGCTCATGATATCCACATGGACATGGACATTTCACGGCCCTTAGAACATCATTTGGACGATCTCCAGCAAAGCCACGAATCTCATTAAATGTCACGCTACTATGCCACTCGGTAAGCCAGAGGTTATCGCTCCTTTTCGCTAACATTAAAGGGAGTATTTGTCTTCCGAAATGGCCCCGTAGCGTGAGGCGCCAATTTGGTTGCCGTTTCCCAACGGAACAGCAGCGACCAAGATATCTGTCATATTTGACGTCGGAGTCAGTTCCAGGCAGGCTTGTTCATTTCTGTCGACGGCAGGCGACATTCGAGACCATAAGTCATCGAACCAATCTGTCTTGACGCGACGCCCGGCCATCGTTTGCAGGACCGGAGGCGTAATCCCTGGTCCCGAAGCGACCCCGAACGCAGCTGAGCCGCCCAGATAGCGCCGCTGGGCGGATGACGGTGAACCCTCGCTGTCCAGCACCAGCGTTCGCCGCCTGGCGCTCCCGTCCAGCGGTCTGCAGCGGTGGTGGAGCCGACGGTCGGCCCGTGCTGTGGCGGCGGGACCTGGGCACGGCTCCGTGTCGGCACAGCACCGCAGCTCCTGTGGTTGAGGAGTGATCTTCAGCCATGTGGCCAGTCGGCAGCTAAGTCCTGAGATCCAGCCGGGCTGTGGTCGCCTGCTGAGCGACAGCAAGTCGGTGACTGTCGCTGGGACACGGACCGGGTACAGCGGTCTGCCTGACTGAAGCCGAGCCGGTGACTGTCGCTGGGACACGGACCGGGTACAGCGGTCTGCCTGGCTGAAGCCGAGCCGGTGGGTGGCGAGAGTGACGAGACGCTCAAAGTGGTCAGAATCGAGTCGATAAGACGGACGGACTGCGAGACGGTCTCAGTGCGCACTTGAGCAGAGTCTGCCACCAGACCGCCGCCATGTACGGCCTCCTGCTGGAGAACCTGGCCGAGTTCATCAAGGTGACATACGGCGAGGACCAGTGGGAGACGGTTAGGCGAGAGGCCCTGGTGGACATGCCGTCCTTCTCCACGCACCAGGTGTACCCGGAGGCGCTGCTGCCTCGGCTGGCCAAGACCGCCTGCAAGGTGGGTCACCAGAGCGTCGCGTGGTGTGGCTTTCAAGGGCTACCGCTAGAGGGCACGGGTGTGCGCTAGTGGGAAATGCCCCGGTTGCATGCGTTGGAGTATCTTTTATACTAACATGTAAGCTTGAATGGTTTATCTAGTCGTAGGTTCACTGCGACGGCAACGTTTTAATAATCGTTGACCGCCGGGAGTCATAGCAGCCGTGGTGTTTTTTTTAAATAACTTTTAAACCCCTTGATGCATGCGTTGAACTTTTCAGCAACGGAGTTCACACCTCCACAGCACTTGCTGTCAATATTTGAAGATTCTCCATTTCATAAGTCACTAGTTACGATCTATTTTCCATGGCTGAGGTCACTGATAACGATTTTTAAAATAATTCTCCCCTTTAACTTAGTTCCACATATTGCAGGTGATGATAACCGATGCTTGGTGTAATTGCTGACCGTTTCGCTTCAGTACGATGTTCTTGAGATAACCGTCCGGGGCCTATGACCAGAATCTGCATGACCGGTTTTGAAATGGCGCAGGTTGCACCCACAGATAGGTCGTTGTCAGTTGATGAGTCGGGGGGCGGGTGATGTTCACAATGTCCACAGGTCATAATGTTCACAGGTCATGACGACTACAGTTCATAACGCCCACAGCTCACAACGATTACAGTCCATAATGTTCACAGTCCACAATTTATCATCCACAAAATAATTCCGCCTGCGTCCGCCGGGGTAAAAAATTTCATCCTTTTGGGAGAGACGCGTCGCTACGCGCAGTGGCCCAAATTCCTCCGATTTGGTATACAGTGGAGCACCACTGTTGCGAGATGAATCTCCCGCGGCCCTCTGAAACTCGACTCTGAATAAACCGACTGGAATAGGCCGACTCTGAATAAGACGCTGAAACAAAACCGGCCGAAATTGAGTTGACCATGCACATGACAGATGGAAACCGGCCCTGCAGGAATAAGCTCGACCTTGCATGAAACCGACCGCCATCCCCCGGCTGCACTGGGACAGTCGCCTGGCAGGCGTTACAGGGCTGGACTGGAGCGCAAAAGGGGCATTATGGTGCATAGTCGGGCTGAGCATGCGTCGGCATGTAACCACTCAGTCATCGAAGGGGGGGGGGGGGGTCTGAGTCATGATGGCTGAGCCTGTGTACGTTGCAACTTTGGGAGGTACAGCTATGGGAATAGAGATGTTCAGCCTGGCTGATGCAGCGCACGGCATCGCTAATGCGTTTTATATGGGCATTTTCCCGTTACATATGCATTTTACATCCAGTTGGCATTTCGTCCCGTTGACTGTTCGGCGTTCTCACTGAATATTTGCGACAGGTACCCAGGGGCGGCGCCACCGGCATGGACGGGGGACGTTTGCCCTCTTTTGTCACGTAGGAGGGGACACGCCCCCTAGCTTAACAACGTTCTTGCAAGAGGAGATATACTCTGCGCACATGTTTCCACTCAGAAATCCCTATTCCTAATTTTTGGCATGACGTATTTCCTTCACGTCGGTAGGATTGCATTGTCACAAATGTGAACACTATGCTTCTAGGACTCCGAAAGACTGCTCGGCGATATTCCCCTATATTGCCCGAGAACGCTCAATGTCTTCCGCGCGTAGAGTTTAATACCAAATTAGGAAGTGATCGAGCATGTCGTGCCAGTTCACCATAGATATTATACATTTTTCAAAGAAAAGGTGAAAACTGGCATTGAACTGTACCTTATGTACTACATTGTTATATAACTGTTCCAAATACAGCTGCAATTACGGCCTACGCACCACGTACGCTCTCATCAATGACAATCATGCGTTAGCATCAGTTCCACCATCGTGTTTTAGATATATCTTCGATACAGAACTAGTCACGGTCCTGCAATTCTGCGGATAGTTCTTTTTCATTGCGCACCTGGAAACCTATTTGTATATCAGCACCTTGCGTAGTAACGTTAGTGTACGTTTTCAGGGGCTCAGCAAAAGAAAAGGAAAGAAAAGAAAAGAAAAACAGCGGAGCACCGCGAAATTTGTAGTGCCTTTTATGCATCCGTTTTGTGTTAAGCGGGTCACTGCGCTGGCTTCGGTCAAAGTTTAAAAAAATAGAACCCTCGGTAAATATTGCAGAGATTTACTGGTCTGGTTCAATCTTTAAGAACTTTATGGTCCTATAGCTTGTAGCGAAATGGCCTTCAGCGAGCACTGCGGCAATGGCCGGCCATACTAGTAGGAACCAACTTTGGAGCGTTGACTAGACCCGTGTTTTCTGGACCATCGCTAATAAAACACATTCCGATGCGTTTTATATGCTTTCCCTTCCGAAACTTCTCTAAAATCATGAATAAAAAACGCAAATTTCGCGATTTAGATAACTTCTGAGCTAGAAGTACAATGAAAATATCCAAAAATAGTTACATTTTAAACTTACAGCACTTGAATTAATGCATGCCAATAACCTGACAAAGTTGTTTTAATTTCTGACAATGTGCAACAAGTATTAACTCGCACCCGGGTAGCCGGCTAATACCCTTCGCTCGGGTGGGGGTGAGGGGTGGGGGTCGACTTGACCCCCTGAGATCTCGGGAACTAAGCAAGCTATAAACTTCAAATAAACAGAGTGTATTGACCTAAACGTGAAGTCACTTAGGTCAAATTTTGAGGTTTCTAGGTTATGATATTCAGGTCAAATAAGGTCAAACACGGTTAAATGCCAGGTTGGTCTCCAAAGTGCCCCCAGAACCTAGATAACTATTTCTTAGCACAAGGTCAGATGCTCAATTAAAGTAGTGACCTTTTTTGACCTTTTGAAGGTCATGATGACCAAAATCATACAACACTGCCTTGAGCTTTGCATTTGGATGAGCGACAAAGATTGTGCTAGACAGCATGTTTCTAAAAACAAAACGTTGACCTGGGTCATTTCAGGTCAATGACCTATTTTGACCTCTTAGAAGTCCATGGAAGATGCATAACACGGTTTCTGCTATCAATAAATTTGAAATCAGCACCAGAAACTATCTCCTACAGCAAGCCCTAGAGTAATAAAACGGGCTGATTTTGACCTTAGTCTGACCTCTGTACCTGACCTTAGGTCAACGTAACTTGCTCATTCAACATTTCTGTCGTCTAAGAAAGTATTTCAGAGATGTATGGCTCCGTCTAACACTCCGCTGTTGCATCAGCTTGAACGATTCCCTAGAAACTGACTTCGCTGAAACCATGGCCTGAGTTTGACCTGCCATAGATCAGCGACCTTACAAGGTATATATGCATTGGGACGTCAGAGGATCCGCTATTCGATTGTCTACAGATACGCAAAATTTGGCGCGGCTGCACCGCGCCGTTCGGAAACCATTCTGGAAAAACCTTTGGGGGTTCAATTTGACCCCCTACCTGAGCGCGTGTTAAAGAATATTCTGGACCGTAGACAAACATACGGAGGAATTGCTTCAAGTTCGCAGGATTGTGGAAGACATTTTACATTTCGTCCCATTCAATAAATTTTTCTACGTGCCCCAGCAGTCTAGCACGGGGTATTAAGCCGTGTTACTCATGAGATCATGCAACTTTTATAACGGATATTACCCGGACCTTTTACCCAGATGCATGTTTGGGATCCAAACTCACGCTAGGCAGTGTTTGTTGCATAAGCCCTGACCTCTACCATCCGAGCGTCCAATTTCAGGTCAACGGTATAATTTGGTGGCGGAAGTTTAAGGTACCCGCGAGGGTTGTTGAGCCCGCGAGTCGACATCACTACAACATCAATGTCATATCAATATCAATCTCATATCAATGCCCGGTTACTGATTCGTCGACTGAACGAAGTCAACCAGCTCCTGCAGAAACACCACATGGACATCCTGTGTGTCTGAGACCTGGCTCAAGCCCGAGGTACTCGACAGGGTGCTGATATTCCCGGGTTTTAGCATACTGCGGCATGACCGCGTTGTCGCCCGGCTGACAGCAGCCCGGCAGACCCCGCCGCGTTGAGGTGGAGTCGCCGTACTCGTCGCGGACTCCCTCCGCGCAACGAAGCTCGACATAGGCGGCATCGACCCCTTGGTGAAATTCCTGTGGCTCTCGGTGAGCGGCCCTGGCCGCCGCAGCGTGGTGGTTGGTGTCATCTACTGACCGCCGGGAGGACGAACGTCCCGAGGCTGGAGAGCCTTCGAGATCGACTACAGGCCGCCGTCGCCACAGGAACACTGGCACTCGCACCGGTGACTTAATTATCAATCTTCTCAACCCGGACGTCCCGGCGTACGCGGTTTTCAGGCCATCCTGAGGGACATGAGTCTCGAACAGCTGGTCGCCAAGCCTATCGGCCTTCACTCAACACCAACACTTCTAGACCTGATCGCCACCAATACAACCGGTCTCCGGAACTCAGCTGAGGCTCTCCACAAGCCTGTGGCGGACCACCAGCCGGTGCTGCTCCGCGCTCCCGTCCCCAGAGAGCGCCGACGGTCAGTCACCGCCACCGTGCGACCGTGGAAACGCGTCGACTGGGACGCGCTTAACCTGAGCCTGCTGCTCGCTGATTAGGAGCCGCTCTACACCGCTGGCACGGTCGATGACAAGGTGGCCGCATTTATGGAAGTGTGGAACGTCGCAGTCGACGCCCACTCCCTGATCACGACCATGACGTCACACCGTCCCGGCTGGCCACGCCTGCGTGGAGATACCGAAGCCTCCGCAACTGTGGAGGAGCGTGACTGCGCCTGCGGGCCTGGTAGCGCTGCCATACCACAGAGGCGCGCGGCATGCACCAGCCGTGCCGTAACAGAGTGAACGGACCGATTGCTCTCGCGCGACGCTCCTACCTGTGCAGCGGTCTGCTGACAGGGCGCGCGAGACTTCTGGAGCCCCCTCAAGCAGTTCGGACTGCACCAGCGAGAGGGTGCGACACCCCTGATTACGACATGGGCACCCGGGCGGACGCACTCAATGCCCACTTCGCTGCCATTGCCCCCCGTTTCGCTGCGGAGGCGGCGGCGGTGCGTGACAGTGCGGATGCGCCCCCACCGGACCACGCCCGTACGTGTCTGTGCCTCGGCGTTCTCCCTACATCCAGTCACTCTACCGAAGCTCTCTCCAACCATGGGGAAGATGAACGCGTGGAGCGTTGTCGGTGCCGGTGGTGTGCCACTCCATGCAATGAAAAAGTATTTCCTTGTAATCGGCACTCATCGTCTATATCTGATCAGCTTTTCCGTCACATCATGCAAAGTTCTCTGTCCGTCTGGAAGAGTCCGAGTACGCGCTGATCGACGATGTCGGGTGACTGGCAAGGGCTGTCAGCAGTGGCCATGTCGCGTCGATAACGACGACTGACCTTAGCAAATCCTTTGACGGCGTTGATCACGGCGTCCTCCTGAGCGAGCTGGAATAGTGCGGGGTGTCCTCGGAATGGTTCCGGGACTACCTGAGCGGTCAGAAGTAAGTGGTAAGTGGTGGCTCGGCTACCTCATCTCTATCCCACGGAGTGGCCCAGGAATCCCTTGGTGGTCCAATCCTGTTCCTCATCTTCATCAACGACCTATCCAGCTTTCTACCCCACGGCCGTCTACTATCATACGCCGATGACACCCAACTACTTGACTCCGCCACCCCCGATGCCATCGGCCTGCTCAACCTGAACCATCCAACCGTGTCATGGAGTCATTTCAGTGCCTTTAAAACTGGTTTCAGTCAAATAGCCTTAAAATGGACCCCTAAAACACAGATTTCATGCTGCTCGGCACCACACCCTTTATCACAAATACCGGCAACATTCACATTGCAATCTCTGGCGTAGAAATTCACCCATCATCTTCAGTGAAGGTACTGGGTGTACTCCTCGATCACCACCTCACCTGGGAACCTCACATTTGCTAGCTCGTTCTGCACTGCAATGCAATCCTCGCATCACTGCTCAAAATTTGACACCACTTCAGTCCTTAGGTTTTGAAGCTCCTTGTCCAAATTGACGTCGTCCCTCATATCCTCTACTGCCTGTTCATTTTGGTTGCAGCGGCCGAGCGTCATCTAGGCAGGGTGCAAAGGGTAATGCACTTCGCAGCCAGGCTAGTGAGTGGTGTCCGCCGTAGCGACCCGATTTCACCCGTCCTGGAATCGTTCGGCTGGCGCAGCGTCGCGAATCTTGTGCACCACCGGGACTGCCTGATGTGTACGGGGCGCTGCACGTCCCGAATCCCCCAGTGCACTGCGTGCTCGCTTCATGACGCGCGCCGAGTCTTCCCGGTGTCAAACTCGGGCTGTTTCGGGAGGTGTCGGCTCGCTGCGCTTGCCGCGCATCCGACTAACCGCCACCCAGCGACATTTTCCGTACCGCGCCGCCGCCCCATCGAACCGGTCTGCAGCGGCCGTCCGCATCTCCCCGCGCCGGACATTTTGGACTGTTTTAAATCGCTGTCCCATTGGCTGAAACTGATTTGACCTGTACGTAAAAGTTGATCTCTGTGTACTGCGTGCCTTTTTCTCGCACGACTAGGCGCAGAACAACCACCATGAGGATGCGCATTCAATAAAATAACCACATAGCTGTAACTGTATCACAAGCCACGGATCGGTCCGTCCTACCCTTTACTTCACCAGACGTTTAGCGCGGCAGCTTCCGCTGGCCGTAGGCCATGACTGCCAGGAGCAAAAAGCAAGCGTCTACAGCAACCCGAACCCACTTCGCCACGGGTGGGTTGATCGGAAATCAGGTGCTGTAACCAACTGAACTGTCGGGACGGGGCATAAGATGCGTCTCGTTTTAACTCCATTACGTTGCAACATGCTACTCGTGCAGCCTGAAGAAATCCCCTGGTATTCATTTCTTCCTCATTTTAAGCTCGTAACATTATTATTATTGATCGCTTGGAGACTACGTGCAACAACCTCGCAGCGGCGCACTAGAGGGGCAAAGGGTTAACCGCTCCCTTTCCATTTACTAAGAGAGAAAATGTACCCCCTAAAACTGTCCTCCGAAATGTGAGGCACATCGCGCGGAAGCCCATCCCTGAAATCGTCAAGCTTGAGCGTCCTCCTGTGTGACCCTGCCTGCCAGTTAAGCCGCAGCTGAACGCAGCTTCAGCGCACGACGAGGGCTGAAACTTGCCTTGCGCAATGATGATGCAGGAAAGGATCAACGCAGTCACGTGCGTCACCTTCGCCTGGATCGACTGGATCCAGTCCATGCTACAGTCGCTTTCGCCGCTCTAAACGCATCACTTTCGAGAACGCTGGGCTGCGCTTGCGGCCGTTCCATAAATATCTGGTGTATACCTGGACGAAGTATGTGAACTCCGTTGTCCTCAAGTAACGTGTCGCTTGGATGTCATTATTCACATCATAATAAGTAGCCAGCTTTAGTCGCTATTATTACTCCTTATGAGCTAACAAAACACTTTTGAAATCGGGCACTCAGCCGTAGCATGGCTGCGGGGCTAAGAAACATGAAGCATCACCCTGCGGAGCTTTTGTCAGCGAGCATGCACACGTTTATGCACTGACACATATTTTTGATGCAGTTTTATAGTTCCGAGCTCTATGACACAGCATTCCCCACTCCCACAAACCGTGCGTGGGACCATTCTCTTGACGATTGTATGGTATGGTATAGCTTTCTGTGATGCATTCTATTGAGCTCGAAGTGCTTTTTGAAACGCCGGTGGCAGGTCAAGTTGGCTTCATCTCAAGTAAATTAAAAAAAATCGAGAATAAAATGAATTTAATGACGCCGAATTTGAAGTCCTCGTACTTCATGATGACGCGTGCTTTCAATCCGACAAAACCGTGTAGGACCGTCCCTTGGGCAAGTCACGAGAATGGTTCGCAAATAGGATTATTAGCCCTTTTCGCTTGGGTGCCTGGCTGACCTTCCGGTCGAAACGACTTTCGGTCTTCACCAACCGATCATGCGCGCCGCAACGTCGCAGCTAATAGCATTTCCTATGAACGGCACGGGCTCGTTGACGTGCCGAACACGCCATGCGTCGCGTGGCTGTCCAGCCGGGACCCACCTCTTCCTGGTTGAAATTGGACATTGTACGGCACTCAGCGGGACACGAGGGCGGCAGCAGCTGAGCATGACTGGCTAGTTCGGCCATCTCCTTCCAATCGATCCCAGAACATTAGGGCGGCGCCGATTGGAGCGGGGTCGCCTGTGACGCAGAGCTGGCCGAGATGGCCAAGCGATTTCCGGTGTTCACGTCAGCTTTCACCACCGAGATTTATGTGCGGGCACAATTTCCGAGAATGTGTATGCGTTTGTCGGAGCAGGAAAGTCGTCTTAGGGAACCTTTGCACATTTTCTGAGGATAGTTGAGACGATGTGAGAAGGTTTTGTTGTTTGATGAAGCTTGCCGGAGGCGCCGACACTCGCGCCACGTTTGATGAAGCTTGCCGGAGGCGCCGACACCCGCGCCACGTTTGATGAACCTTGCTGGAGGCGCCGGTATTTGCGGCGCGTTTGATGAAGCTTGCTGAGGGCGCCAGCACTTGCGGCGCGTTTGATGAAACTTGCTGAGGGCATCGGTATATGCGGCGCGTTTGATGGAGCTTGCTGGAGGCACTAGCACTCGTGGCGTGGAGCGTCTGACGCAGTGTTAAATCGGTGTTTTTGCATTACTATTTGGTGGTCGTAAGATTTTCCCCAGAGTTAAAATCTGTCAACGGAACGTTCGCAGTTTCTTCAAAAGGAATGCAATACGCCCAGAGGCACTCACAAAGAGGCGCACGAGCCCGTCTCCTCTTCTAAGCAATTGACTGTCACTCCAACATTGCAAAAAAGCGTGTGAGAACGCCAGAGTGGCACCAAATTTCGCATTTCTCCTTGCAGCACACTTAAATGTGATAACAGGGGATTTCAAGGAAGGGCAGCATGTTACAGGAGTCTGCAGATGATAATCTCTGTAGGAGGCCAACGAGAGCTCCTGTCGGTAGCTCCTACAGCTCGTTCACCCCACGGTGACTCCGTGTGCACACCTGAATAGACATGTTCTGCGAGTGGGCCATTGCCATTACGTTAATAATGAGAGGGATGTTACTGACGTCGCGTCGGTCACTGCGGGATAGCTTCCTGTAAGAGTAAACATGCTGTATACGACAAATGCATTCCCATCCGCGATATCCCCTGTGGCGTAGCCCCAAGCAATGCAGGTAACAGTGTTGCGGTCACGGTGTCCACGCCCGCATCCCAGCAAAGGCTGGACCGTATGGGCAAGTGTCGAACCCTATGCCGTAATGCAGCATACGGTATAGTCTGTCAATAATGCGTACGAAAGTCTTTGAACGATCAAAATGATCGCAGATATCACGCAGGTAATTGATCCGTCAGCGCTGTGCCTCTGGATCGTTTGGGCTTATTGGTGCCGAGCTACAACCGTGCCGAGCTACAGCCGTGGGGCGAAAACATACCTTAAGATTAAGCTGTCACGCGTGCGTGCGTGCGCAGCCTCTGCTCTCATGCTGTCGCGGGGACGCGACACTGGATGCTTGCCGAGTTGGAGAACGCGGACTTCAGTCGCAACCTAGGCATCTCAGCAGCGGCTGAACGG